AATGTCTATTTCAGTCATTTTAACATTAAAAGATCTTTTATAAAAAAATTATGTTTTAAAATTTGAATAATTAATTTTTAATCATCAATTTTAAATTAATTATAAATTTAAAATTATATAAAATTATATAAAAAAATTAGAGTGATAAAAAAATAAAAAATGTCTATTTCAGTCATTTTAACATTAAAAGATCTTTTATAAAAAAATTTACCAAACAACTTTTTATTCTGCAAGTACTTTTATAAAAAATTTTACCAAACACTTCTAACTTCTCAAAAACAGCCTTTCCACAACAGATTTCATCTGACAGAATTTCTATTAAAAGTTTCAGCCACACCAAACAGGCTCTTAATGATATATAATTGAAATCGATCCTCAAGCTGTTAAACACTAATTAAATAGATGATTTCCCAGGTTGGAGATTTTTTTTTCTTCCTTTGAATAAGAATTAAGAAGAGAGAGTTAATTAGAGGATCTTTGATATATAAAATGTTTGATCATGACTCATGAGAATTGGAAAAAAAAATTTTGGCCTTCGGGAGACTTTGAAGTTGGAGATGGAATACTTTGTAAAATTACTGAATCTTGAATGAGAAAATCCAATCAATTAAATAATAAAAATATATTTGTCTTAAATATAAGATTGATTTACTTCTACTATTATCAATTGATATAATTAAATTTGAGGCTCACTTTATATTTCAACTCACATATAAATTTTCATATAATATTATAGTCAAACTCTATGTTAAGAAACCACATTAATAAAATAACTAAAAAGTATACGTGACTTATGAAATAACAAAAAAAACATGTGATTTAAAACATTATAAAGTAACAAGTAATTTAAATATATATAATAAGAACTACAACATCTTTTATTAATTAATTTTACGTTAGATGATCGCCTTACATTTTGGCTCGCCTACAAAATGACACAAAAACCTTGAGTTAAGCAAGTCTTATATATAGAAGGCTCGTGTGTTGTGCAAAAGAAGTAATATTGGAATTCATGGTTTCAATCAATACCTAATGATTGATTTTAATTATTTGTGAGTTGTAAGGATTTTTACTACTTTTCTAGTATCTTTATTATTAAGAAAATGATCAGTACATTTTCAAATTCAATATATTCATTAATATTTATTAGTTCAGTTATTAAAATTTTTAAATTTAAATTCAAATTTAAAAATAATAATCTTGTAATAAATGTATTAAATAAAAAAATATATCAATTATTGTCTTTTATTATTATCAATATCCTTTCTAATCTAAATTAGTTGTTATGGTTCATGACAAGATAACAAAGAGAAGATCCATTAATTAATACATAAGCAGCACAAAGGCTTTGGTATCGTCATTTAGTTGTTGGTCTTTATGGCGTGGCAGAAATGATACAGGTTATTGGAGATGGTTCAAATCAGATCCTGCGCAATTGGTGCAAGGCAAAGCTTCAGGGATTGGTTTTTGATTTTGGAAGTTGGTGCCAGGGTCCTCTCTTATGTGTAGAAGAAGTAGCAAGGTCCTGTTAGGTGGTTGAGGTAGTGTCAACATGCAGTTAAAAACAGAACTCAAATCGTTGTGCTATTATGCTTGGTTTCTATAACAGCATATATGGAAATGTAGTTAAGGTGGGTCACGGGATGAATTGAATATGTGTTGGGTACTGATTGTACTTCATTTTAGTAAGGAATAACGATTAATACAGTTTCTAATTTAATATATTTTATAATATACTTATTAATAATATATTATAATACACTTATTAATAAATTATTTTTAAATCTGAATTCAAGATAAAAAAATTTTCAATTGTAAATTTTAATAGTTGAATCAGTAGGTTTTGATAAATGTGTTAAATAGAAGAATATACTAATAATTTTTCTTTAATAAAATTATTTACTAAAAAAAATACATAAGCAGCACAGTTTATCATGGTACTTAAAACTTCATGTTTACCCCTAATTCATCTTCAACAATGCTATAACTATACTATCATATGGAATTGTAAAGTTGTAGTTTCACGTGGTATTTAATAAAATATGATATGATAATAAATAAGTGAATCTATATAATATTATATGTGAATTCTAAATAAAAGAAAGTTAATTATATAACAGTACATCATATTGTAAGATTATAATATCACATCATATTATAATTATAACATTTTTGAATTCATCTTATTAGTCATTTAATGGAACATAATAAGATTTGATAAATTGAAGAAAAAAATAATTTAATGTTTTGTTGAAGATGGAAAACGACAACTAATTAATTAACATTAGTACATTTTTTAAGCTATTTCCTACGTACATTAATTTTTTTCTGATGGAAAAATACATATCATTTAAAATTACATGTAAAACAAATACTATATATATTTTTTGTACTAACAAAGGACGTACAACCAATTCAAGGTCGACGAGTATTTATTTTTATAGGCAAAGAGATTTTTATTTTATTGGAAATTTAAGGGGTATCCCATTCCTTTCACAAGTATACCAACCTACTAGGATTTATATATATAGGGAACCTTATTTCATAGTTTAGATTGTGTTGAATTATAAAACAGATATTATTAAGTTGGAGAGAGTCTCAATATTCAGAGGCCCAACTTCTATCTAATAGTTAATGTAATATAATATAGTAGCATTACATTTTTGATATATATATATATATATTTGTTAGTAGTTTGCTAGGTGTTGGGCAATTTTATATACCTTGACACTAATTTCTTTTGGTTTGATCAAAGTTGGAGTATTTACATCAAAACTAAAAAAATTTATAAGAAATTAATTACTTCTTTATTGGCCTTCCAAAAGAATTAAATCTTAGTCAACAACGAGAAGCAAACTCATCTACCAACTAAGTCACAACTTTTTAAGTCCCACTAGACTATACATGATTATGAGAAAAATTATCTCTAGTTAATTTCTTTTCGGTTTGAACAATTGGGGTGGCTTTGAATAAGTTTTTACACAACTGAAGAGTAATTCTTCCTCAAGTAATTTTAAGGGTGCATACACCCCTATATTAGCTTGATTCATTCAAAAAAATTAATTTTTATGAGTACTAATTCAAAGTTTTAAATCTACATCTAACTTATAAGAAACCACTTGCATATCAATAATTAATTCCAACCTTGAGGATAATAATCTCCAATTAATGGTTGATTGTTAATCATTAAATAAATAATTTTTAAGAAAATTAATTTTTATGAGTACTAACTTAAAATTTTAAATCTAAATCTAATTTATAAAAAAAACATTTGCATATCAATAATTAATTCCAACATTGAGGATAATAATCCCCTATTAGTGGTTGACTGCTAATCATTAAATAAAGAATTCTCAAAATTCAAGGTTGTACCTTTTCTAGTTATTATTTATTCTTAAGTTAATAAGAAAGAAGAAATCACATCGATATTGCTCTCTCTTCGGCCAAGGTACGTGCGATGTTTTTCTGCCATAGCTAGAACTAGTTCTTCTTCGTATAGTTGCAAAATATGTTTTGGCCTTTCTTTTTGAAGAAACAAATAGGCCGGTGGCCCCTGCCACAACCACACCAACACCCCCCTCCCCCCCCCCCCCAAAAAAAAAAAAAGGCTAATAGGTCCGGAAGAAAACAGATTAGTGAAAAACAATATTCTGACAGGCAAGCAATATATGTGATGATTACATCAATATGTGATGCGAAGTACGGAAATAATTCATCCATCGATCAACATCACATGGATATATGTACCTGTACTAAAATTAAGATTAAATATTGAAATACAGTAGTAGTCCCTAACTCTTAATTTTAGTTGGTTTTAAATTTTGCCGTGATAAAATTTCAATGGCTCTAAATTATCCCCTGTATAACAAGAATTTTCTTTCTATATTTATTACTTTTTTAAAAGGTAATATAAATAAAAATATAAATGATCACAAAACAGCAATGAAGAAAGAGCGACAATTTGATGAGGCTTAATTAATTACCTCCTTGATTAATTTTTAATAAATCTAGTTTAATATTTTAACCTTTTATATAAGAATTTTAAATGAAAATTAAAATTTTTTAAAATAAAATAAAAATACTTAAAAAGAACATTATATTTGAAGAAAAATTAAATTATTGTTCACATATATAGCTAAATTTTCATTTAAAATTTATATCTTAAAAGTTAAAATATTAAACTAGTTTTACTAAAAATGAATGGAAGGAGTAGTTGATGTATAGAGAGAGAGAGAAAGAGAGAGAAATTAGTATAGGGTAGGTCACCCTTAATTTTTTTTTTTTTTTGGAGGACTTGGCTGAAACTAACATTATAATTAATATTTTCAAAAACTAATAGTTGATTAAAAAATTTTATTAATGTAAATTATATATATCAATTTTCAAAGTGATCTAATAGGTAAAACTAGTTTATTAATTACATAGAATTTAATAGTATTAAATATGTGTTAGGAAGTAAAGTTTTTTTATTGAAGAGTATAATATATTAAATCATTATTAAACTTGACAAAGTAATTAAGGATCAGAGCAGGTGCAGTCTGCAGTGTTAGCCCCCTAGTAAGAATAATAAAAATAGAAAATGGTTTATTGATGATGTCTATTGTTTAATTTGCAGAGGATGCATGAATTAGTGTGTATTTATTCGTTTATTTGATATGCTATGTGAATATTATAAGATTTACAATAAAATTTTCATTGTAAAAAAAATTCAAAATTTGAGTTGGATTATGAAATGCCTACCTAAATAGACGCTCTTCATTGATTTAGTTCCTAAAACCCAAACAAAGGTAGTTTAGTTGACTTCATGAGGAGGCTAATAAGAATTTTTCATAAATTATCTAATCTGACCTACATGCATGAATAATCAATTTTTTACTAGACTAAAGAAAAATTATTTTCAAAGTGTACATAAACTGACCAATAAGGGACACTTTGCCTACAAATTTGCTGCAAAACCGAAACCCTAACTAGCACAAAATAACTTAAGAAAAATTTTAGCATTTGAGATATGTTTTAATTTGTAAACCACATATTTGAAAATAAATAAATAAATAAATGTGACAAGTACGCCCATGAATGTTATTATGGACAGGCTGCCAGCATAACTGGGTACAAATTCCTGACTCTGTACGCGAAGAAGAAGAAAGAAAATCCCAAGCCCATATTTATTATTTTTTGGATTACATGTTGCATCACTAACTTTTTTCCTGTCAGGATATTTTGAATTAGTTTAAGCGCACTTTTGAGATTAAAATTTAATGTAACAATACTAACATTTATCTATAGTTGTAGGTTTTTTTGATTCTTTACTATTTTAAAAATATATAAAATATTTATTTTAATTAACATTTTATATTTTTAAAATAATAAAAAGACATAAAAATCAAAGCTACAAGACCCAAAAACATTTTAAAACCAAGTTTAATCCCTCAATTTGGTTAAACACAAGCCATTTATACTAATATTAAAGAATTCAAGAGAAATTATTTTTTCAATAAACTTTTAAAGAATCAAAACTTGGTAACTCTCTTCCTTTTCTTAATCTTCTTAAAGCTGCACAGAAACACCAGGAAGGGTTTTGTTTCACCACCAACCAAAGTCTTTCACTTTTGGTGCATATATAGAAACATATTGTAAAGATATATATATATATATATATATACAGTTGTAAATTTCTTCATCACTACAAACCCATCAAAGCCCTCGAATGCCAGTACTTTTCCCCCATGGATCAAATCAATCATACCAAACTCCCAAATCAGTCTTGGGATCTTGAAATTTCCAAGGAAAACCCTAATATTCTCCGAGTAGAAAATCTCTTGATCAACCCACTTTGGCCTAGTTACCCCCCTGAAACCCGCCAAATAGAACCATCTAATTCTTCTTCTGCCCAAATACCATCACCTTCAACCCCTTTCCTTGAAAATGCCCCAGAGGAGGAAGAGCCAGAAGAAGAATTGGGAGCCATGAAAGAGATGATGTACAAGATTGCCGCGATGCAGCCCGTGGACATAGATCCAGCCACCATCCAGAAGCCAAAGCGACGCAACGTCCGGATCAGCAACGACCCCCAGAGCGTGGCAGCAAGACACAGAAGAGAAAGGATCAGCGAGAAAATAAGAATTCTGCAGAGATTGGTCCCAGGCGGCACAAAAATGGACACGGCTTCGATGCTGGATGAAGCCATCCGTTATGTAAAGTTCCTCAAGAGGCAAATTCGGCAGCTCCAATCCAATCAGCAGACCAACAATGTAAACAGCTGGCAAGTTACACCCACCAAACCTCTCGGTGGCGGTTCCTCCACCTCAACCTTGCTGGAGACACCACTCGGATTCCGCTTTGGCGGCGGCAACAACGGCGGCAATCCTTTATGCTTTAATAATCATGAGGTAATCAGTGATTAATGTATTAATAATATGTATATATAGAATATGATGGAGGTAATGGATTCGTAATCTTTAGGTAAAAAAGAAGTTGTTAGGATATTGTTGACTGAGGAGAAGAGATCATGTGTGTGTGGAATAATCATAACGGATAGCATGAGTTACGTAGGTCCATATATATAATATATAATAAGGTTCTTGGAGTGTGCAGATTGGCCGGAAAGGTTGTTTGGCCAACTCTCTTCCGGGAATAAAACAATGACGTGGGAAATCATTGTTTTCTATGTATTCTTCTTAATTTTTCTGTGTTTGTGGATGACTACTATGTATGTGTATGAATGCAAACATAAATGACTCCGCACATGACATGGTGTGCATACTGAATCCTGAACAGAGATCGAGTAGGATAGAGGAGAAATGGGCAAATAAGCCCTTGTACTTGCACCCCTGTGACATATAAGCTGCCCTACTTAATCTTGTTTAAGATCACCCCTTCTATTCTTTGCAACCAGTCAATCATCCCTCATAGTCTAGAATTATAAAATTTGGTCCTAAAAGTTCAAGTGTTTTCCCAAATCAAACAAAAGGTTTTGGCTAAAGCCTTCTTATTTGTTTCATAGTAATGACTATTCTTTACAGAAATCAAGGATTATTAGAGTTAGGGGGCCATGGCCCCCTAAGATTTTGAGATATATATATATAATAAAAATCCATTTATATATAAATTTTACACACCACATTTATATAAATCTCAACAATTTATCTTTTCACTTTCAATAGTTAAAATTTATTATTTACATTTATTAAAAATAATTATTTTTTCACTTAAAAAATATGACAAATTTCAGCCATTAAAAGTAAAGACAAATCTCAACTATTGAAAGTGAAAAGACAAATTGTTGAAATTTTGTGCAAGTGTAGTGTGTAGAACTTGTGTAAATGAATGGATCCCTCCTCATATATGTTTTATTTTTGGTATTTTTTAATATAATTTATTTCATTATATATTAAAAAATAATTATCATTATTAAAATTATCAATATTAAGTCTTAGATTTCCTAACTTGAAGATAGTTTATCAAATTTAATTACCTTATGTTATTGTTTGACCAATAAATAATCCATACCATCAACTAATTACAAGACTCTAAAGATATTGGTTATTTCTTGGCAATTAGTTACAATTAAGTCCCATTAGGTAATAGGTCTGATTATTTCCTAAATTGCTTAATTGGTGTGAGTCTCAACTATTAAAGTAAGTGTTAAATAATTGGGTGGCAATAATATAGTTCTAATGTCACGTAAAATTGTAAACTAACAATTATGATGTGTCATTAAATGAGTTGATGTTTGTATAATATCATATGTGGACCTTTAAGTGCAATTAAAGAGTCAGTCATTTAATGACATGTCATGATTATAAGTTTACAATTAAAGAGTCAGTCATTTAATGACATGTCATGATTATAAGTTTACAATTAAAGAGTCAGTCATTTAATGACATGTTATGATTATAAGTTTACAATGTCATGTGATATTATAAATCTATATACCATTTTTGATAATTGGGTATAAACCATTGACCAATAATAGATCAAGATCACTTAACGAGACTCATTAGTAAACTAAGATATCCCAATTGAGGCTAGATCTAGGAAACAAAAGGTGTCTAAAATCCAAGAAGGTTAGAAACTTTAGAACAAATAAATATAAGAGATGTCGAAAAAATTTAAAAAATTGATGAAATGCTGATGTGCTCCATATTTATAAGCAAAACGAAACTTTTGAATTTGGGAGAAGTTATGCTATAATTGTTGTAAATATTATATCTATCATAGAGTTTTTGTTCAAAGAAATATTAAATTCTAGATGAATGTTAAAATACTATAGAGATAGAAAATTCAATCACCTACATATTTAGGTTTAGAACAAATTGCTTCAAAACAATTAAAATTATGATTGGACTAAATAATATGGTTATCTTTGTTAGTGTATACATTATAAGCTAAAGAGATTAATTAGCTCAAGATGCACCACTATTATTATCAATTATTTATGTAATGACTATTTAATTATGCATTGAATAAATAAAAATGATAAAATCTCTAGAATAGTAAATCTTGGTAAAGGAATCAACATGGTCTCTTTGATAAAGAGGTGGATCTTTATGATGTATGTAACATTTCCTTTATCTCAAATTATGTGTTATTATTATTAGTTTACAACCAATTTGAGGTAATGATTATATATATGGCATATAATTGATAATTAAATTTTTTTTTTTTTTTTTAAAAACATAATTATTTTTTAGTTTTTTTTTCAAAAAATATTTACTCACTATTCATATACTGCATAAAAATGCATCACCTAAGATTTATAATGACAAATAATTTAAGATTGAGAGAATAATATCCTTAAATATCCTTTAGTCATGGCTCACTTGTGTGCCTAATTTCAAAAGTCTTGGATCATTTTTTATCATCAAAATTAAAACTTTTTGTTAATTTGTAGTACAAGTGATACTCATACCTTTTTAGCCATATGCTTTCTATAGTAAGTATTTTCTCAAAAATCTTTAAATGAGACTTGTGTGACACAATTGAGTGGGAGACATAGCACTTGCTTTTTTATAAAGCAAGAAAGTAGCATTTTCTTAACGACCCTTTCTTTTCATGTGCTCAATCCCTTTAAGGATGGATAGAAAAGCATTGGTTTCAAAGGGTTCTACACTTTCAAATGATTTGTGAGAGGGATGGATAACTTCTTGTAGAATGAATTACTAATTTGCTTAGGACAACTTCAATGACTTTAAAACTCTACCATGAACTAAAAATTTATAGATCCTACATGAATTAAATGAAATACAATCTAAGACTAACTTACAAATAATATATGCATTTAGAGAATTCAACTAAAAACATTAATAGATGAAACTATGAACTATTGGTATAACATCTTATGCTACTATAGAATTGGAATTTAACGAGGTATCAAATTAATCAAATTAAAAACCAGATGATCATGCAATTATATGAAAAGAATGTCAACTAACATCAAGAGACTAAATCGAAGTGCAAATGCCATATAAGTAATTATTAGAGGAAACATTACTTATATAAACCCCGAACAAACATAAATTGGAGAAAGACACAATACCTTACAGAAATTGGAATGCAAGTTGTTCATAACACGAAAGAAGGAGAGTTGGATTAACTACACAAACTAGATTGACTAATTGAAAGTTGATATAAACCTAAGTCTATTGGAAATTGAACTAAAAATTTAAATTAGTAAACTGCACTAAGCAATTGCTATAAAGAACTAAAAGGGCTAAAGTTGCCGTCAAGTGGAATGTAAGGCTAACTATGTTTTCATTGATCAAAACTTCTCATTTTGTTTGTTTGATGCAAACTTGAAAACATTCACTCTTCAATTGATGTAGATTATGGCAAGTTTCTTAGGATAGTCAAACAACTCAATAATAGACTTGGTTACAAATCCTTCTAGAATTTGCCACCTATCCCTATTCTCCAATAAACATTTGCCAGTCATCCACTTAAGTGGTGACCTCTCCTAAATGGTAGCAATTACCTTATGCAATTCAAATCAAATTGGCAATTAATAGATAATCACAATCCAATCAAAATTGATTCTCCATGTGGCATCCATCTACACAATCTCTTTCTCCCCCTCATACTTGGTTTTATGAAAATAAATTCAAGTGTTTATATTTAATTAAACCATATAAATTTCTCTAATCATCATGTCACCTATCACATCACTGCCACAAAAAAGAGTCCTTTTGGTTTGACCTCCAAACTATCCCTAAGAAAATCTCCATTTTCCTTTCCTTTTCAAACCATTCGTTATTCAAAATCTTCTCATATCACTTAAACCTAAAATTAAATTTGAAAGTAAAACTCACTCCTTTCAACTCTCTCAACATGTAATTGATCTCTTTTCTTCTCCTTTTTGACATACATGGTTGGCAACTAGAAAAAGCCAACCAACTCCCTCAAGTTCCATGTCATTGACTACTAAAACAAAAGCTACCAATAGTCCTAAGCCACCACTTGCATATTTGGTCTCTATCTTTGATGACAAAAACCTATGGAAGAAATAAGGAAGCTTTTATGGTGAAATCCAACTCCCTCAATTATATTTTGAGAAAGGAATAATAGAAAAGAACAACATTGTAGATTTTGTTGTTTTAAAAATCAGACCAGACTAGCTTCTTGAGCCGGTTAGACTGGTACTCAATGATATAAACAAGTCAAGTGAGTACTCGAAACTGATAAGGAGGTTCAACCTTTCAATACCAATAAAATCATTCAAATCAATGCAAATCATTAAACTAGATGGTTTAAAGTTTTAGGGAAGATTCCCTTAGTTTTGCTACCTCTAGGTTTCAAACACGAGACTTTAAGCAGATTTTCAATTACTTTCACCATTAGGACATTTTACCTTAAGGAGGATATGGTTTGCATAAAATTTTATTTCTTTTATTTTTAAGAAGAAAGAATAAAATCCCCTTTAGAAAAATCAAACTTCCTCCCACTAATATGGAGACAAATATTGTTGACTTTTTGTATGGAAATTAATATAAAATTTATTTAATTTATATTTCAAAAATATAGATTAAGAGTGTAATAAATATAATTTTTTATAATTAATTTATATAAAATTATAAAAATTGATTTTTATTTTAATACTATTAACACATAAATGATTTTAATTGATTAATTAATTAATTCAAATCAATTTTTATAATTTTGTAAATAAATAATTAAAAATATATTTATTTCACCTTTAATATATGAAATAAAGTCATCAATATATTATAAGTTAAAAATATAATAATATATAAATTTTTACATTTATTATAATTAATATATATAAAATTATAAAAATTAACATTTATATATGATTTTAATTAATTAATTAATTAATTTAAAAAAATTACATTTATTGCATTTTTAATCTATGTACAAGAAGAATTATTAATATATTATAAGTTATAAACTAGAAACATAATAATCAAATTTTGACATCAATGGCACTCGAACCTATTGCTTACCTTATACTTGGACAAACTAACAAACCATTAGAACCACTATCCACTTATTGTTTTGTATTGCATAATATTTTATTTATTCATATTCAAATAAACCATTTGAATGATTTAACCAATTAAACTGATCAAATTGGAAACAAGAGGTCAAAACGATTTGACCTTTAGGTCAGTTTTCAAAACACTAGTTGATGCTCTAAGAACGAGTTAAAGCCAATTGTAGTCCTTGTACTTTGTGAAAATGTTCATTACCACCCCTCTACTAAAGAAATATTCAATGTCATCCATCTACTTTTCTTACACCATAAATATCATCCCTCTACTACTTTTTTCTTGTTAGTTGTCATCCTTAATTGGATGCCATCGATTTTGATGTTAACTTTGATCGTTAATTGCCTAACGGTCAAACATTTAACTTTTGTTTATTAATTTTTTTTCCACTAATAGAATTCATTAACTCTTTATTAAAGTTTAAAGAATAAAAATGTAACAATTTAGTTCCAAAAGTTTAAAAACTAAAAAAACTAATTACTTAAAAATAATTAATGGATGACTTTATTACATATATGAGACTAGCATTAGATATTTACAATTAAATCAAGTGATTAACTCAATCTAACTATAATTAAAGAAAATTTCTTAGCTATATTTTTCTAGTCTCTTGAATTTTTTATCTTAATTTATTTAAAAAAATTTCTTTAATTTCAGTCAAAATTCTTTCTCCAAATTGAGTTAATCGCTCAATTTAATTATAAATATCTAATACTATTTTATTATATGTGGAAAAATCATCTATTAATTCTTTTTAGTTTACTAATTTTAATAAATTTTTAACTTTTAGAACTAAATTATTACATTTTTAATATTTGAAAATTAATCCTATAGCTATTTTATTCTCATTTTAATGAAGAGTTAACTGATTTTGTTAGTTTAGATGGTAAAGCCATAAAGAATAATATAGAATTAAAAAAAAATAAAGGAATTGGTCCCACTAGTCCCACAAGGTGGATAAAAAATTAATAAACATTCTAATTTGTGTCCTTAGGGTATATGTTAAGAGTTTTAAAAAAATAAAAAGCAATAGTTAATTTATCAACTGTCTAATTAAATTTATACATGTGACAAGGACATTTAAATTAATGTTTACTTTTATATGTTTTTTATACAAATTTATTGCAAAAAAATATCATTAACATATGCTCTTAGAAAAATTTATAAACAAAAGTTGAATGTTTGACTGTTAAGCAATTAACTGTCGAAGTTAATGGCAAAATGGATGGCATCCAATTAAGAATGACATTGAACAAAAAAAAGTATAGTAGAGGGATGACATTTATGGTGTAAGAAAAGTAGAGGGATGACATTGAATATTTCCTTAGTAGAGGGATGGTAATGAACATTTTTACAAAGTACAAGGACTATAGTTGGCTTTAACCCCTCTAAGAACAATGGTCAAAATCTCTAAATTTTAATGGTAAAATAACATTTTTAGTCCCTTTAACTTTCCATTCCTATGTACTTTGATTCTTAAACTTTAGATTTATTCCATGTGATCCCTACTTTCAACCCTTTTATGACAATTTAGTCCCTAAACTTTTGGAATAGATGCACTTAAATCTTCAAATTTCTTACAAGCATTTCAATCTTTTTTTCACAAATAATAAAAATCATGCAATTTTCAATAAAATATATTCAAGTATTCAACTCATTTAAATATCAATAAAATCAACTCTAAAATAGTAAATTAAAAATATAAACTCATATCATCAAGGTGAAAAATCAAAAGCCTTTGATACTTGGTGAAGTGTTACAATTAAATTGGTGAAGTTGTTGAAGATATAGTTGACGTATGAGTGTGGGATAAATGTGATCTTGAGAACATTACAGACGATGATAATTTTAGGTGCTATTTCCATGTCTATAAGCGTATAACAAAAAAAAATAAAGCAAGTATCTCTTATTTATCCTTTTTTTTTTTAATTTTATCATAATGTTGTTTCAATTTTTTTTTTAGATGTGAGCTATATATATGCATATGAGCTAAATGTCCTTTTCTATTTTTAAGGATCCAAATTCTGCATCAAAGAATTGGTTTTTTACTTTAATTATATCAATTTTATACATTTTAATTTAATATTTTAGCCTTAAGTTTATTAATATTTAGATGAGCAAAATGTGATTTTAGTAGACTTTAAATGATTTTATTGTTTGTCAAAAAAAATTGGAATGCATGAAATTAGAGGTATTGAGACTATGTGAAACTCTTTCAAAACCTTAGGGACTAAGTTGCAATAAGAAGAGTAAAATCAGGGACAGAGTTGAAAATTTTTAAAGTTTGAGGATCAAATTGTACATAAAAGTTGAGGGATGCAAAAGTTACCACCATTCATTTTAAGTAAATTTGATTTGAATTTTTGATTTTTTATACATGAATTTTTAACGAAAATTTAACATATTATATAAATAATAATTGAAAATTTTTTTCAATTAAATAAAATAGTCAAAAAAAGCTTCATATGTGAAAAAAAAAATCAATTATTATTTATACAAGTGATTAAATTTTTATATGAAATTTATGTTTGAAAAGTCAAATAATTAAAATAAATTTAATACAAATGAATAAAAAAAGTATTTACCATCAGAATTTAAGGATGGATGGACAGCATCACAATGTCCTGTTAACGGATGGAAGATACTTGGCCTTTAAAATAAAAAATAATAATCACTATTTTTACAAAGTTGATTGATTTTTACTTGCATTAAGCCAAAAACATAATACTTTGTTTGTTTATTTTTAATAATCTTAATTTAACATTTTAATTTTTTAATATAATTTTTAAATAAAAATTTAATATATTATATAAGTAATAATTAAAATTTTTTATTAAATAAAAAATTTAACAAAAATTTTGTATAAAATAAATTTAATTATTATTTATATAAATTATTAAATTTTTATTTAAAATTTATACTTAAAAAAATTAAAAAATTACTCTATAAGTACTGCAAATCAGGAGGGAGTACTAAAAGAAAAGAGTTTTATGTTTTGAGACAAATGAAAATACAAAACATTCGATTTCCGTTCCCAATAGAAAATAACAATAATAACCTCCTTTCCGGTGGCATGGTATGGGTTTGTGCACTACAGGCTTCTTATTCATTCTCTCATATTAAGCAACTCCGATTACGATCTCCTCCGCTTCCTGTGCCGTCCATCGCCCCTTTTCTCTCCACTCAAGTGCTCTGTCAATTCCATTCTGATTCCCTCAGCATCCTCAATGGTAGATTCTATCTTGCTCTGCTCATCCACGGATCAGTTGTATCTTTTTTTTTTGGGAATTGAGATCAGTTGTATCTTTACATTAGTTTAATTACCATTCCTTCACAAATTCATCTATGATTCTTGGATTTCATTTTTTTATGGGTCTTGGTTCGTCTTTCTTTGATTTGAAGATTGCCCATATGGTTTTTGGTCAGTTCTGTAATGGTTGTCGAAAAGTGGTTTTTTGAGCTTGAATGTTGGTGCTGTAGGATTGAACAAGGAGATTGTGTAAATATTTTGGTTTATTTTATTGAATGTTTCACAGTTAGAATGCTGTTGCTTTACTTTGAAACTCTTGTTTATGGTTCTTTGAAGTACATGATATTGGGTGGTATGGTGGTCCTTGGATCTGTTCTGTTATGGGTTTAAAGTTCTTCATGGAAAGATGGGTTCTGAGGATCTTGAGGTGATACCATGTTTAACAGGGCTGGCGAGTTTGATGAATCTTGCTAATGAGATGATAGAAAGGATGCACAGTTTCAAGACAAGTACTGTTAATTTTGGCATTACCAATTGAGATGATGAGTAATTTCAATAGGAGTACATCATTCAGTCGTAGGGCTTCAAGTATTGAGAGCCCGAGAGTCTTCAGTATTGGAAGCCCCAGAGCCTCAAGCATTGCAAGCCCCAGAATTTTGGCTATTGCAAGCTCCAGAGTCATTCGATTGAGCTGGGTCTCACGATTGTTTCATGTTCTTATTGTTATTGGTTCTTTGATTTCATTCCTTATAGTCATTGGTGGTGGTTATATGTTTCTTCTTCCTAGTCTCAGCCAGGCAGTTCTTGGGCATGATGTATCCAAATTGAATAATTCAAGCAATGCTTGTGATGTTCAAGATGGGGGCTGGGTTACAGATGATAGTTACCCATTATACAATGCTTCAGAATGTCCATTTGCAGAACAAGGATTCAATTGCTTGGGAAATGGTCGGAGAGATAGAGATTATCTGAAGTGGAGATGGAAACCAAAAGATTGTGAGATTCCAAGATTCAATGTACAGAATGTTCTGCAGATGCTTCAGAATAAGAGGGTTGTTTATGTTGGAGATTCTATGAGTAGAACACAGTGGGAATCGTTAATATGCCTGCTTATGACTGGAATTGAGGACAAGAAGAGTGTCTATGAAGTCAATGGGAATAAGATAACAAAAAGGACTAGGTTTTTAGGAGTGCGGTTTAGTTCTTTTAATTTTACTATTGAGTTCTTTCGTTCAGTTTTCTTGGTGCAACATGGTTGGATGCCTAGGCATGCCCCAAAGCGAGTGAGGTCAACACTGAAGTTAGACAAGCTGGATGATATTAGCAACAAGTGGATTGATGCAGATGCTCTCATATTCAACACAGGACAGTGGTGGGTACCTGGCAAGCTCTTTGAGACGTAAGTTGCTTTGAGTCTCTTTGTAAATTTCTTTACACATGGTTATTTTTCATATTCTTGGAGTTAATATTTATTCTTTAGGTTTCTGAATTATTTTGATGGCTTCATGCAAAGCTATTAATTTTGTCTTGCCCACAATACTCTTCTATGCATTAACAACTTAGACTGAAGTCAGTATTGTGCTCTAGTTTTGTGCAATGTAAAGAAAAATTTTTGTATTCTCATAAAAAAATAAAAAATTGCATAGGTTGGAAGAAATCTAACAGTCTTCAGTTTTTATCTATTTCTTAAGCCTAAATCCTCTTTTTAGCGGTCAGTTTTCCCCTTTTGGCTGTTTTATTGTACATGATAGTGTTTTCTTATTTGAATTTTCTTTACTTATGGCTAAGTCTTGATAAGACATTAGACACATGAGGAAATTTCTTTTTTCACTCCTATTTTGGAAACATGTGGCGTTTCTCTTTCTATCTGGGTCCTTTCTTGTTTTAATCTTGGAAGCCTTGTCCATTTTTGGAGGCTTGAGAGGAAGTATTTTTCACGATAAATCATTGTATAAGTTAACATTCATGAACCCTTCCTGAAGGGTGGTTTGAAGTCAGTCTTCCCAAATTCATTTCCTTGTGTTATTTTATGTTCATATATTGCCCTTTCTAAACTAAGGTTTTCTTGTTATTCTTTTTTCCTTTTCCTTGTTTTGCTTGGCTCTGTCAGTTTTCATTTAAAGGGAGAAGTTTTTCTATATTTCTTTTCTCTTCCAGTTGAAAATCTGAAGAAACTGACATTCTAGCTCTATTGAGTGCCCCCTTGGGTTGATTATAATTCCTGGATTGAAGAAAAGATATGTATAATATTCTGGTTTGCTGATGGTATCCATGATCTGTTGCTCCACATTTGTATTCTATTTTTTGGTTGTTATTGGACTGCATTCACTGGTAATACTCTTCCTGATCTCGGATGCAGTTTATTTGGGATATTTACAGCTGTCATTTTATCTAGTTGTCTTCTTCTGGGGCATAGTTGTTGGGGCACGAAGAGTTGTAGTGTTGTGGGTTTACTTCTCTGTGCTTTTGCTGCTGATATTAATGCAGCGTTTGTAATATCTAATTCAGTATTATTGAAATCTTGAGGTTTGATCTACAAAGAAAAGTAATGAAATTTGTGGATAATCTGCCATTGTTGATTTGCTTAGTTGGCACCAGTAATATGCAATTTGGAGGAACCCATATCTGATGGACTTGATGTGCCTTTCTAAACATGTATTCTGTGATGAACTTGTTACAAACTGGTTGCCTGCCTGGGTGCCGTGTTCTATTATAACCTCACCCGGGTGCCATCATGATTCAAACCAAGTCTACTTCTCAGACTACCAACAAGCACAAAACCATTGGGTGCCTGTGTTCTATTATAAATTACATGTGTCAGAACACATCTTTTTGATATTCGTATTCTTATATATGGTAGGAAATTTTCCTTATTTATTCCCTTGGCCAGTGGTTGCTACTTTCAGGTTGGCAATTCAGTGAAGCTTGGAATGTCAATTCCTGCAGCCTATAGATTGGCATTACAAACATGGACATCATGGGTTGAGAAGATGATTGACACAAACAGAACAGTTGTCTTTTTCAGGACTTTTGAGCCATCTCACTGGAGGTAATCCTGATATAAATATGATGTCCATAGACAAATTTTCTCTCACTGTAAGTTCGCAAAAGTTCTTTGTGTGAGCAAATGTTTTATTTTTGAATTATCCTTCGGTTTATAATTCCTATGTGAATGCCCTAGTTAGCACCTATCTGTGTCTCTTTCCAGGAACAGAGTTTATGTTAGTCTTTGCTCACATTGATCTAATAACTCTAACTGGCTACATCAACAATATGAATAACTTTTCAACTTAACAAGATCTCAGAATTCCGAAATTATTCTCCCCTAGAAGGGCTTTTGAGATAAGACCTGTTTATGAAGGGTAGTTCTGTTTGCAATCTGTTTTTGATGTCCTAATTTTTTGTATTATTTTTGTTATGTTGTTTTATATTGTTTTTTTTTTTTTTCTTCTTGATTTCAAGTTGAGATGATTTTCTTTTACAACATGACTGTTAACAAGGGTTGTTTCTGCACCAGTGATCAATCTCATAGATTTTGCAATGTGACAAAGGATCCACTGTCAGAAACAGAGGGGGGGGATCACAGCATATTTTCAGAGATTGCTTTGGAGGTGGTAAAAAATATGACTGTCCCTATAACCATTCTGCACGTAACTTCTATGTCCGCTTTCCGAAGAGATGCACATGTGGGCAAGTGGGGTGATAACCCATCAGTACCTGACTGTAGCCATTGGTGTCTCCCTGGAGTGCCTGATGTGTGGAATGAAATTTTCCTCTCATACCTGTTTCCTAGTCGTGAACTTTCCTCGCCAACCAATGTAGAATAATGTAAGTTTTCATTTATTTGGTTTCTTTTCAACTTTGCTTATGTTCATTACGGCACAACTTATATATTACTCTAGTTGATCTATATGCTTCAGGAGAAATTTTAACTCTACCTAGGGTCATAAAACTAGATGTTTTTCCTGCTTCTATTTGTTCTTTATTCTGAAAATTCTCTTCCTCATCACCAGTAGAATGTAGGAAAATGGTCAGTTTTACTACTTAAGCCATCAGAAGATGAGAGCCACTTTTCACTTTAGTTTTTTGGTTCTTGGTGCAGATTGGACAAGCCTATACATACAAGTTACAAACAAGCAAGGTGACGGTAAATCAGTCTCCAAGCATCTCTATCTGATCTTTAAAGCTTGGGATAATTGTGCAAAATGGATTGCAATTTTTCACGGAGGCATGAATAGCTGTCCAGTACGCTCTTTGTGCAGTTCTTCAAGTAGGACCCTTTTTTATTTGAAGAGAAATTTTAGAAATTTCATGGATAAAGGTTCATAGCATAGTTATTTTTTCATTCTTTCTTCAATTTCTTTTCCTCCTTTTGGTTTCAATCTTAATATCGAAGAAGTGACTGAAATTGAGCGTTGAAGATGTAACAGATTTTGTCGTGTTCAGATATCAAAATTTTGATCAAGACGATTTTATCTTTGTTTACAAAAAAAAAAGAAAAAAAAAAAAAAGATAATGAACTAGAAATTTTTTGCAACACTTTGAACTGTTTGTCATATCTACACTGCTCTCTGAAATTTTAATTTTCAGTCTAACTTTCCACTGAAGCAACAGAGGAACCCTTTATATGTGCTCAATCTCCTTGTAGATCCCATAATTTTATAATTTAGAGTTGTTTGGTTTAAATGAAGAATATGAATTCCTAAATATAAACTGTATGCTTGCTTTGATTAAAATTTTTGTGAAATTCATTTGCAATTCTGTAACTATTGTATTTGATTAGATTAAAAAGTATATAACTCAATTCTAAACCTTACTTTAAGACTAATTAAATTCTACAATAATGTGCTTTGTTTTGAAAATCGAAGAGAATTCACTTCATTTCCAAGCAAATTCAATCAAAGAGTCCAATTAAGAATCAGTTTTCATGTTAAAATTTTTAGTGTGTGATATAAATTAAAATAGAAAATTCATTGAGTTTTTTGCAAATAACTTCTTTTTTTTGGTAAATTTATGAGGTATATTAGTGTTTATCCCCTTTATTTTTTAAAAATTATAAAAAATTATTTTAAAATTATATTATTTTAATAAAATAATATGAAAAAAGATTAAAAACAGTTAAATTTATATTTTAAAAATAAAACATTTTAATCTTTTTAAATAAAAATTTATTTAAAAAACATAAATTTTGAGTAATTTTTCTTTTAATTTTTAAGAATAAGACAAATAAGTATTATCCCTTTATAACACCATAAAATTTAATTTAAACACAATGTCATAGCCCCACTTGGTGCTACCAACCCATCCATATCAGCTCCTGGGGTGCAACCACCACCATCCCACCCATCACCTCCAAACGTGTCACCTCCTACAGCAACCACCTTCCAATTTAGTTCCTCCTTCCCCATCATTCTATTTCTCCACCCTAACCACCTTATGTTCCCCCTCTACCATCATCACCAGGAAACAATTCAGCTGTTATAATGGTTGTCTTACTTTAGGTTGGTGGACTACTCTTGGATTCATCTCAGTTGCTCTATGCTGTTTCATCAAGAAGAGACAGAAGAAAATGGTTCAAATGACGAAAGTCATACGTAAATACACCAACCCATGAGGTTACTGGCCATTATACCAGGAGGTCATCATAGTAAACACACCGTGATTTCATGATTCATTATCCATTCTGGATTCATCATCTTGATCAAATATAACTCAATTCTCTATGCAAGCCTCCAAAAGAATTTTGCCATGCAATCCCCTAGGGCTCCAGCGTGTATGTTTCCGTGACCACGGAAATCAGATTTTTTTAAAAATTTCTTCAGAGCAAAATGTTCTTATTTTCTAGATGGGAGTTAGACCAGAATCTATCAAGTAAACAGCTTACATGCATCCTGTATCTATTAGTTGACTGCCATATGGATTTAAACCTTGGTATATCAACTAAAACAAAAATTAACAGAGGCTAACATGACAAACATCATGGATCGATAACCATTGGAGTAATTCGCCGCTTGGTTGGCTTATTCAATATGGGAGTATTAGATGAGCTTGGCAATGCCTGTTTCCCTTTACTCCTTTGAGCTTCTGTCATTCTGTCATCTGTTGCCATTGCACCATCACCTCCAGGCGTTTCAATCAACCTGTCCTGCAGCTTCTGGGCTACTGGGCTCTGGTTCTCATCACCAATGACTTTTTGTGGTTCTAAGAAAGATTGAATCAATTTCATAAGTAGCCGTACAATGGATAATTGGGTGGATGGATCAATTAAAGATGAAATAATAAAACAAAACCTGGGAGAGAAATGGGCAATCCAAGTTCATCCTTCTCAAATTCTATTAAAGTACAGTAACCATCTTGTGATGACAATGCTAAATAATGAGCATCAGAGGACCTGAAAGTACAAGTAGATATAACCAGTAGAAAAAAAATAAACAAACAAACACACATGCACATATGTAGCCACTAAACTAGGGGTTTGTTGTGTAACAAATTTACCATGCGATGTCAGTGATGGCTGCATAATGAAGCCCAGCCAAAATTGCAATGGGAGGAACACTCTCTGTATCATATATGTATAACGAATTCAAAGTTGCAACGGCAAAAATAAGGCGATATGGAAGTTTGAAAAAGCCATCTGCAAATGCCAGCAAGGCCAACTGGATTATAGTAAAATTCATAGGATATGTCCAGAATAATAATTCAAAATCAGCAAAATATACCAGAGTTTGACCCTCGAAGGCTAAAACCCACTGGGCAGAAGCGAATTGCAACGACAGGTTTGCCAGCAGCAGGTAGCTGCAGAGAGGGCCTATATCTCAGAAATATAGGAAAAGTGAATGTAAGAGAGAGATTAATAAGATCAATCCAACTTATAGAGATTAATAAAATTGATACACTAACTTCAATTCAAAAAACTGAACTATTATGGCTTAAGAAACAGCAACTCTTACTGTTCTTTTTTTTTTTTTTTGTCCTTCTATATTTGGTGGTGGCAGGATACAAAACTGGGACCTCCTAGACTTTAGCAAGTTCTTTAACTACCAGGCAAATTCATATTGGCACATCAAGAGTTAAAAAGTAATGAAAGTGATAACATGTCTTTACCTTGACAAGTCTTTCCTGGAAAACACATATGCAGTATTTACTGTTTCAGATGAACTAGAGATTTTGTAAGAACCTGTAGTAGAATATAACCCAAACAAACTGCAATTAATCAAGCAAATGACTAAAGTATGTAATAAGCAAAAGTTCCCTTTAGAGTTTTGAGACATAAAATTGGTTGAAACGAACAGCTAACGATAAAAATTCCCAGTTACTGACCACAACTAATGGCAGAAGAGAGATGTGACAAGACAAAATAAATGAAGCAACCATGGAACTAGAGAGCATTGCAGTATGATAAGTATTTATTGACTGGACATTTTATTCAGTTGTTTACCTGCTGGCGCAACCAAAAATGATCCATCAGGTGACCAGGCCAATCTTCTGAAGAATGATGGCAATGTTTCATCATGAAAGAGATGACCTTTTGCAGACTACAGAACAAACAATTGGTGGGCTTAATTGTGACTGACAAGTCTCTAGAATCCAACACCAAAGGAAGATACTCTCTAACCTTAGAATCATCCACCAGTTGTTCTGCCTTTGTAATGACGTGTTGACAAATGTAATTCATCTTTTCAGCACCTTTTGTTTTTGTTCGAGGCTTATTGACATAAATCCGGCAAGTTCTATCAGAACTAATTGACGCAACATATTTGGACAAGGGATCCCAAGCAACACCCTGAACATAATGGGCATGAGCATCCAATATCTGATGAACAGAACCTGAAGATGGCAAAAGAAAGAATTAAGCAAATAAATGAACAAAGCACTCTTTTTTCTGTCCCATGTTATTCTTTCTCACCTTTGTTGACATCCCATATTATGCAAGAATTATCAACTGATCCAGAGATGAAAAATGCACCATTTGTTGACCACTGGAGATCCAGAACATCTTTACGGTGAAATCTAGCCAACAGAAGCAAAGCAATAAGCAAATAACTCATGTTGTAATTGAAGACACCCTCCTGTCCCTTCACCTTTAACCAGCTAAAAATTGTATAAGAGAAAACTCATAGACTACTTAAATAGATGGAAACTGAATAATAGAAGAAAGAAAAGTCAAACTTTCCAGATTGAATCCATAAAAGAGTCAGACTCAAACTGTTGCCTCTAACCAACATACTTATTACCTTCTACAGCTCTGTTTCCATGTTCAACAGTGATTATTCTGACAACATATTTTATTTATTAATTTTTTTTTTCACAGAATCTAAGTAGTTAGAGCATATCAACTTCTAGACACCAATAGTTTGAATTGAAGCTAAATATACCCAACTGAGTTTAAAATACAGTTTCATTCTGGAGAAGTTTTGCCATATACAGATTTCATTTCAAGCAAAAAAGATACTGATATTTCTACAATGATCCAATTTCTAATAAAATGGCTCCTTTAGAGAAGCTTAAAATGAGTCTGGATCAAAAAATAAAATAAAATACTCAAGAACTTACGACAAACTCTTAAGGACTTTCCAAGCTTGTTCAGTTTCGGCAGAGTGCAACTTCCATATGATCAGCTCACCTCCTGCATACAAATTTAATTTTAAAAATATGTTGCATTTTAATATGGACTAACAGGATAACTAAAATAACATTCAATCACAAAACAAAAATCAACTATCAAGTGACCAAACCATACCATCAGCACCAGAAGCAAGTTGCTCTCCTGCACAATATCAGAGTGTAAGAATTAGTTTTACAATCCGGAAAAGAAAAGAGTAAATGCAGCAAAATTCTTAGATAGCTGACTTTGAAAACTAGCCATGAATTTATGCATCCTGTGAAATCATTTAAGAATTATTTTCAGAACAAAAATGAAGATATTTGAAAATCAAGTTTTGACTATAACTTGAGTAACTGCACCTTGTACTATGAGTTAATCATGAGCATGTTACAAAACACAAACAATAAGACATAAAAGTAACTGCAAAAACCCTCCTCATTGCAAACTTTAACATTCAAGCAGAAATGAGAGGTATGCATCAAATATTTACAGAGAAGTAATGAAATCAATGCATCGCTCAACTGTAATTCAGCCGGATGTGGAACTCACAAACCTTTACAGGATTAATAGAAACTGCACCTGATCATATACAATACTTTATTGTTTCTGTATATTGTAATGTCCTCCACTAACTTGTATCCATATAGACATTGAATAGACAATTACCTACAATAGCAAGTAGCAACTTTGATAACACATTTGCATGTGCTTACCGGATGGAGAGAAGCGCAAGACATTTACGGAAGAGCTGTGGTAAGAAAGACTATTTTGATAAGATGTACTTGGTATCTCCTGCCTTTCGCCGGAATTTATTTGCCAAAGCTAAAGAGTTTAACAACGACAGAAAATTAGTGAGAATAGTTTGAATTTGACAAACAAATAAAAAATTTAAAATTGCTGAACCAAACGCGGTCTACTTTTTCATTCTCCATTTTCCTTCAGTGCGCCAAACTCATTAAGAAATGCACAAATGGTGACTGTTAACTAAAACGCCGTATACAGAAATCAGTCGGAAAAACTTAACATGATATCAAAAATTGTAAGGAGAAATGAAGTTGACGAAAGAAAGATGAACCGTATCAATGCAATCAATAACCTTGATGTCGAAATCGGCGCCGCCGGTGGCGAGGAGACCGGAGATCGGATGGAAGTCGAGGGTGAGGACCGGTTTTGTGTCGTGCCAATTTATCTGCACTGTGCCTCCCTTCATTTTGCGTTTATCTTAGCGTTTGGGTTTTTTCCGTTCAGAGATACTGTTTCTGAGGAAAACTGATCTAGGGTTTGGGTTTGGGAGAGCCGCCGAGAGTGAAGAGACGTGGAGGGAATGTTTGGCGCCCTTTTTTTATTTGGCGGGAGAAGTGAAGGCCACTCTTTTTTGTTGACACGTATTTACTTCACAAAACTTAAAAAAAAAAAAAAATCAGTTAAAGAAATCGGCATTTGACACGAGAACAGATGGATTTGAATCTGCATAGTTCGGTTGGGGTTATTGTGCACCCTATATGGTAATAATATATACTTTTAATATAATTATTTATTATATTTTTATATTATATTTTTTTTTAGATTTTAAATTTGTTTATAAATTAAAAGATATAATAATTAATTAAAACAAAATAATATAATATTAATAATCAAGAGTTTAATGATAATATCATCCAGAGTGCAAAACGCAGTTATAGCTCCAATGGTTTTAGTCAAAGGGTATGGTTATTACTACCATAAAAAATATTAAGATTATATTTTGATTTTTTTAAATAGCATTTAAAAATATTAATTTATTAATTAGTAAATATTAATTATTTTATAAATTATTAATTAATAATTACAAATATTAATTATTTTTATCAATCAAATTAAATATAATTAATATTTTTAAAAATAATATTTTATAATTTTTGATAATCTTAACATTTTAATTAGTGTTCATAGTGCTCCACCCGGTAAAGCATTTTCTTTATGCTAGTTTTATCTAGCCAGCTGTGCGGGTTGTTAATCTATATTTGTATTTTAAAAAAAGAAAAAAATTACTAGAAGAAAATAATAAAAAAAAACGTATAGAAAAAAAAATTTTAAGTTTAAATAATTAATTTTCAGATGCATTAATAGATTTAAGAGTTCTTTTAAGACCACGTGATAAGTTGAGAAATTGTGCAAATGAAATAATGATATAAATTTTATCTTTTTTTTTTTATATAAAGATATAAATTTTTAAAATTTTTAAATCGGATAGTAAACTTTTATTTTTTTTCTAAATAAGGATAAAATTGTAAATTTTTTTATTTAAAGATTGATTATATAGTGATTATGAGGTAAACAACAATATTAATCTAAATAAAACAAAATTTATATCTTTAAATATAAAAAAAATTTCAAAATAAAAAATGACAAAATTCATATTTTTAAATAAAAATAAGTAAAACTTTACCACTTAATTTAAAAACCTAAAAAATTTGTATATTTAAATAAAAAAATAGTAAAAACTTTACCACCTAATCTTTTCCCATGACAAGTCCATTGGAAAAAAGTATTGTATGTAGATTATGTGAAAGTAAGATTATTCTTAGCAAACTGGATTTATGTAATTTACAATATAATCCATTTTATGACCAAACAAAAGTGATTTTAAGTAAAAAAATTATTACACAAATAGAAGATGACAAAAAAAGTTTTCATACAAATAAAAAAGATATATAAAGGAAAAGTTAATTATATCAAATGTGATAATAAAAAAGACAAAACAAACTTTTTATGTAAATAAAAAAAAAAACATAAAATCTACGAAAGTTACAACAAATGCCATTGTACAAAAGATGAAAAACTTTTTATTTTATACAAATTTAAATTGGGTTTATCTAACTTGCACTCTTATGGCAAGAGTAAAGAATGTAATAGATGAATTTTTTTGAATATTAATTTATATGGAGAAGTAAAAATTAATTTTAACACCTATGTCATATGGATGTTTTTAATTAATTAAATAATTGATAAAATTTGTGTTTATATATATATGTTAATAATAAAAAGATACAATAAATATACCATTAATTTACGCTATAAAAATTCATTCAAAATAGGCAAAAGGTTTAATTGCCACTAACTCAACTATAAAACTCTTGAACCCTAAAGAATTTAAAAAATTACAACGAATTAACTCTATTTTTGGAGAGAGAAAGGAACATAGAAGAGAGATAGGAAAGGGGTAGTGTTGACTATACTCTCTATATTGCTCTTTAGTTGTTAAGTCATTAAAGTATCAAGACTACGCTTGTGTTTTGGAATTGTTGCAAAGTGATATGGTTGTAGTTTGTTGAGTATTTTTTTATTATGAAACAACATTATAAATTATTTAATAGATACTTTTTAAAGAGTGTTGTACATTAGTATATTACTAAATTATAAAAAAACATTAATTTAAAATTAACATAGATTTAGTTTGAGAACAATGTGTATAAAAGTTGTATGCAAGTGAATATTAACTATTTATTTAGTATATATTTTAATTAATATTTTATATATTTTTAGAATAATAAAAAGATATTAAACCAATTTAATCCATTATTATATGATAACCAAACTAATCCAACTTAAATTGAATTAGTGTGGTTCAGTTGGATTGATCAATTTTTAATACTATTAAATACATGAAATAATGTAAAAAAATTTCACATCAAGTAAAAAACGTAACTATAGAAACGTAATTAAGAAAGGCATAAATTATAACAAGTGCTTATACTCCTTTACAATTGTAAAGACTGAAAAGTCTTGGTTACATCACTAGAGGCATCAAGGATAACAAAAGATGACTTCAAGTTTTAAGCACAATACAAGTAATTTGTAAAGGTTAAAACTAGTTTTCTTTCTTAATGCACTAATGACTAAACCTCATCTTCTAAGCCCTGTTACAAGCGAATAAAATTTAAAATGATTATTACTAGAATTGATTAGAAGCATTCATAATTAAGATTTAAAACTCCTCAACTAAACATCTAAGGATAGTAGAATATCAAGACTAGTTTTATTATGAAGCTTTAAGACTTTTGAAATAATGCTTCTTTAAGGTTAAGCTAGGAGAATTAGAATACCATTTTATGAACAAATTAAAAATTTAGGATTATAAGAGTAAAGGTTCAGATTAGTTCTGAGAAGTAGAATTATAGGCAAATTAAAAATTTAGAATTAGGATTAGAGTGCACAATTAAGAAGGAAAAATATATTAAGGAATTTGGGGATGCTCTATTTTTATTTTTTAATTAAGTTAATGAAGTTATTATCTTGTGAAACAAGAAAAAATATATAAATACTACAAAAAATATATTGTATTATTTAATTAAGTTATATTGTTATCGGGCTTTATCTTGTAATTAGGCGATTTAAAAGTAAAATTATAAACCAAACCAATTATATAATTCAAACCAACCCAATTTTATATTGGTTTGGCTTGGTTTTAATTGGATTTGGTCAATTTGGATTGAATCAATTGGGTTGGATTGGATATGAACACCTCTACATGGCATAACTTTCCCAAAGGAAATCTTAATTGTAACAAATTAACATTTTTAGAGACATGCT